AATCCTAACCCTAACCCTAACCCTAATCCTAACCCTCACACCAGATACTGACTGGACTTCGGACCCCCCCAGACCCCCGCATAAAGCAAAAATGCACGTTTCAGAGTGGCCTTTTATTGTGGCCAGCCTAAGGCACACCTGTGCAATAATCATGCTGTCTAATCAGCATCTTGATATGCCACACCTGTGAGGTGGGATGGATTATCTCGGCAAAGGGGAAGTGCTCACTATCACAGATTTTTTCAGATTTGTGAACAATATTTGAGAGAAATGGTTATTTTGTGAATGTAGAAAATGTTTTATATCTTCGAGTTCATCTCATGAAAAATGGGAGCAAAAACAAAAGCGTTGCGTTTCTATTTTTGTTCAGTGGACATCAAATTTCATCAAAGCAGCAAACCACTTTTAGAGTTACCCACACTTTCTGAAAGCGGCCATCTTTAACATTCCTTAACACAATCATTTATAAAAAATCCTCTTATCTACGCGTCTGTTATCGCAGCATCTTTACTAGATATGGATGTCTGGATGGTGTTCTGGAGAGCCGCCGATGAGGAGGAGGACGAGGTGGTGCTGGACTTCTTCTCCATGGATTTGAAAGATGTGGTGGTCTTATTTTGGACGGTCTTGATGGTCTTCATCCTCTTGACGTGGAGCACCTCCATGGCGTCCATGTTGACGCCTTGTTTGATCTCCTCGCTGGTCTCCACCTGCTCCGAGGCCTCCTGCTGCTGCTGCTCCATCTGCTGCTGGCGATGAACCTGAAGAAGGGTGTGGAAAAAGTTAAAAAGGTGGATTTTCGAAGGCCCTCTGTGTTGGATTTAAATTGTTTAACCCATTTAGAAAATACTTATTCATCACAATTTACTAGCGTCATGTTCCCCTCACCATCATCATGTGCTGATAGTTGGCGATAGCCTCGTCAGTGGTGACTCCCTCAGCGAATCCCAGCTCTGCAGCCCGGCGGGCCAGCTCGGCCTTATGGGAGCCGGGAGGGGTCCAGCCCACTCCTCTGGTCCAGTTCAGGTCTGACTTGTAGTTCACCTGCAACAGAGAACAACAACTGATAAATAAATATTGTCGAAATGAGCCCACAAGACAGGGAATACTTAAGTATAGTGGAGTTATCTTCAAACAACCAGTATTTTTAAACTACCTTGCCCCAAGTTTACTGTATGTCAGTTAGTTTGTGTCATACAGCAAATTAAACCCCTAACCCTAACCCTACCTACACATCGAGCAGCTGCTAACCTAAATTAGCTATCGCCATGTAGTCGTGTTTCTAGCCACCTGATAAATGTCCAAAAAAGTGAAGCTCCATTTTTGGTCTCCACCAAATCCCCAAGAGAGGATCTGGTTCTGTAGATGCTAAATGTTTCCCTATTTTGAACTACATTTGTCAGTAAACCATCAGTTTTTTCAATGCTTGCTGTAATCAAAAACTTCACATATGGAATAATATCAACTAAAATATGAAAATATTAAATAATATATTGACATACAGTAGGGTTTTCCAAGAGCATTTGAATTGGATAACAATGCAGAAAAATGTAGATCCATTATCATTTATTTTTTCTTCAGTGGTCCATATTGGCAAACTTTTCTTTTTAACTAATCAACTTACAACAGTATATTGCCACAACCTGGCAACTTCTTCCTAAAAGGGATTTATTTATTTAATTACATACTGTCATATTGAATGATTTAAAGTTTTTATTTTGTTTCACATATAACGTCAAAAAAGGGAAATCAAATAATGGACAATGGATGTAAAAAGAAATCCACTTCAAATCTTGTTCTACAATATACTCCATGTGCATTCTGACTCACGTCGCTCTGCAGCTTGTAGGCCTGCTTGGCGTGCTTGACGTTGAGTTGCTCCGAATCACAGGTGTAGTCGTGGAGCTTGCTGCGGTACTTGAGGTCACTCGCCTGAGCCTGACTCTTTTTGGCATTCAGGAACTCGGGCTGGTCGGCGTGCATTTTGAAGTGTCCGCGGTCCTCCTTGGACTGCCGTTTGTACTCCAGGTTGCTCTGGAGCTTGCTGGCGGCCATATTGTGCACCATCTTAGGGTCGTCCTCCACACAGCGCAGCCCCACCTGCTGCCCCTTCTCCTTCACATGGGACTCCTTGTAGCGGAACTGAGGGAGGAAGAAAAATACAGTTTTCTATTTTTTAGAAAAGTTTAATTAAAGTTACTGGGATTACATTTAGCTTCAGGGATTCTACCTCTAAATGTGCTTCCATAAAATGAATCAAATACTTTGATTGTGCTACATCCAGAATACTGGAAAATAACTTTTCAAATCATTTTGTGCTTTAAATAAAAAATGGCTGTAAATAAATTATGTTTTAGTGCGTGGTATAAACAAATAATTGAATTGTTAAGACGCCTAAGTGTATTTCTCTGCATTATGATACATTAAAAAAGGTAATAAATCCTAATGTGTTCTTCTAAAGGAGCTTATCATTCAACTCACGTCACTGGCCATTTCTCTGGAGGCCTTTGCAGTTTGGAAGGGAATAGCATCCAGCCTGAGGTCATGGCCAGACGTCTTCACCTGCTCCCCAGACGCCTTGTAAACTTTCTGTATCAGAGAATAATTAAAAAGATGATGTTAAACAATCTACAAAAGGGATATTGGCATATGTCAATGTGGATTTGTATGTGCTTGTATTTAGGATTGTGAGAAAGTATCCTTACATCACTCATCTGCTGGGCATTCATCCTTGCTCTGACAAACTCTGGGTCATCAGAATGTAAAGTGTACTTATGCATGTCGTCATTCTTTCCAGATTTATACAGCCTCTGCAGCGGAAATAAATGAGCAGTTCAAACAACAGAAATTTAGATTGGGACTGAATTAATCCATGATAATTCATGTTGATATTTTCAACCAACCTCACTGTTCTGTTGATAGCTGGCCTTAGCGTGGACCATATCAGGAGAGTCGGTCACTGAGGTGAACTTCAGGCTGTCTGGCAGCTGACGATACTTCTTCTGCAGGAATCAAAAGCACACACACTTTAACAGGAGGAAATACAGATGGCTGAGATGTTAACAAATAATAATGCTAAATGTACAATAGATAGATGGATGGATATATACTGTAGATAGATAGATAGATAGATAGACTAACTACTGAATTTGGGGGATTAATAAAGGTCCATCTTATCTTATCTTATTTTAATTTTGCATTTTGTTCCGAATATTATGGGACTAGTGGGGCATGAGTCTTAAGGCCTCATGATTGTACCTTTCAAATCCTTACTACACTTTTTTGGACAAAAGTCATGCTTTTTAATTAATTCCATTTCCCCCCATCTACTCACATCACTTAGGAGCTGTCCAGCCTTCTTAGCAGACTCCAGCTGAGGAGCACCCACTCCGTCCCAGGCCACTCCTTTCATGTAGGTGAGATCTGCCTTGTAGAGTTTCTATACATAAAGTAATATAATGCGTCAGACAAGTTAATTATATTATGCATTTTCAACGTCCTCTTCCCCCCACCCTCACCTCGCTCTGCAGGTCGTGAGCTGCTTTGGCCCACTTGACCGTCATGTCGTCAGAAGGTATGGTGTACTCGTGTAGTCTCTTCCTGTAGTCCTGCTCGCTGGCCAGGGCCTGGGAGTTCTTGGCCGTCACCAGGTGAATCATGTCGGGGGTGAGGTGGAACTGGCCGCTGTTCGTCATGGCGTCCTTGCGGTACTCCTGGTTGCTGGCCAGCCGGCCCGCCTGCAGACAGTGCACGAGATACGGGTCTTCTGAGGCACTGACCCCAATGTGCTTCCCTTTTTCCAGCAGGTGGTCGTGTCTGTACTTGTTCTGCAAAGAAACATGGACAACATATGTGTAGTTCTCTACGTCCAGGACACAACTCACACCAAAACAGTGTATTTTGATACACAGCACTACAGGATAGGTAGAATAACATATTATTATTTTCGGCAGAACTGTGCCTTTAAGGTTTTTTTTTACTTATTCTTTATTAGTTATTTTCTCACATTGCCCTTTACATCTAATTGTATTCCAATTAGAGGAATGGTTTCTTTAACAAGGGTTCACAACATGTATAAGGTCTCAAATACCAACACATACAAAACAATTAAAGATGGGTTATAAGGTCATCCTACATATTTCAATAATACAGTCCAATATACTTAGGACAAATATCCATATACCAGAACATTTCAAAAATAAAAATTCCTCATTTTAAAGAAGCCATATTATATTATTTTGGGGTGTCACACAGTCCAGTTCCTTTTTATGCAGTCTTAATAATACTTCCATCATTAATCCCAGTTTCCTATTACCTCCACCAATGGTGTCCATCTTTCTTTAAAAGTTGCCATCTGTAATCGTAGCATATATGTAATGTTTTCCATTGTATAAATATTTCTTAGAATTGTCAGCCATTCAGGTGGGGGGACCCTTTAAGGTTTTTAAAGTTCAGTCTGATCTTACCTCACTGGCGATGCCGGTGGAGCTCTTGGCAGCCTGGAAGGGGATGTCCTGCATGGAGAGTTTGTAGCCCTGAGCCCTCAGCGTGTGCCAGGACTCTCTGTACTTGGTCTGAAGCAGAGAGGCAAACAACCAATGTAGATTAACCTTAAAATACCACACACTCTGAAAAAAGGCCCTGACACTTTAGTGTACAGTGCACAGTTCACAGGGAACGTGTTATACCTCGCTGAAGTTAGCTGCGTTGATCTTAGCCTGCATGATCTCTGGTCTATCAGATGTTATGGTGTAGTTGTGCTGGTCGTTCACCCCTTTCTTTTTGTACAAACGCTGGGAGGAAAACATAAAACAGCTGTTAAGCATTGAAACAGTAGGATTCTCAACTTCCTTGGCAAATAAAACGAAGGATATACTACTGGTGAAGGTTATTACTACAGAAATATAAGCTCCATGTCTCACTTCATTTGTGATCTGTCCACTGAGTTTGGCATGAAGGATGTCTGGAGAGTCCACGACAGAGGTGTGCTTGAAGTGGTACGGCTGCTTGCGGTACTTTGTCTGTTACAGAAGAAAAAGCAAAGTTAGTCTCTGTTATACTTACGTAGATTTCAAGGTGAAGTCACTTTTTTCATCTTAACAAGGAAATCAACACTTAACTTAATATGATTATATAATGTAGATTGTATGAACACTTAACAAATTAGGAAAAAATTGTAGATTTCCTACATCACTGATGAGCTCCGTGGCCCTCTTGGAACCTTCAATCGACAGAGCTCCAGTGGCGATCCAGGCTGCACCCCTCAAGTAGTTCAAATCAGAGCGATACACTTTCTGCAACAAACACACACACATAAAAAACACAGTTTAGAAAATTAGTAGGAGTAAAATGTTTATTAATAACCTCGCAATAATTTACTAAAGTAAAACACCCAATGTATTGTATTAAAATTCTTCCATAATCAATTACTCCTTGTGTGCTATCTACTACTTGTGTGGTGGCTTTAGATAAGATATTAAGGAGGTACTTTATTGATCCCAAATTGGGAAAGCAGCATAAAAAACAAAACAAAGCATTGCACATAAGTAGAAATCAAAGAGTAGAACAAAACAATCCTAGAATTTAAACATCTCAAAATAGAATTAAAACAGCATTAAAAAGTAGAAAATATACAGTAGACCGTGAAGATAATACATTTATAAAATCTGAAAATAAAACTCTATTGAACGGCTTTAAACACAATATAGAGCAGGATATTATTTAAATTAAGTGTATACAGAATGGAATATTAAATGAAATATAAATGTAAAATGTACAGTGTCATCGTATTATTAACTTACAATAGAAGCACTAATATTTAAACAAACATTACAAAGTCAGTAAAGCACTGTATGTTATATCTAATTGATCAGTCATTGGTTACAAAGGTGTAATTTACAGATTTATTTGACCACTTGAATGTCTCACCTCACTCTGCAGAGCGTATGCTTTCTTGGCCGCCAGCACCTTCATGTCATCGGGCAGCGAGGTGTACTGATGCAAGGTCAGCCTGTAGTCCTGATCGCTGACCAGAGACTGGGCCTTTTTAGCGTGGGACACCTCCAGCATGTCCATGGACAGGTGGAACTTCGACATGTCCTTTGCAGAGTCTTTCTTGTACTTAATCTGGAGAGAGGCAAAGGGACGAGAGAACAATGATATAGTATGCTATTGGATTTGACAGTTTTCTGAGTAACAGTTCAAATGCACTCACGTCACTGTGCAGCTTGCTGGCATTGACAGAGTGAGCGATGTTTATGTCGTCCTGCAGTCCCTTCAGACCGATCATCTTCCCTTTCGTCTTCTCAAATTCTCCCCTGTACTTTTGCTAAAATGAAACATAATTACTTGATGTTAGGTGAAATGTATCAGGTATCATCAGTGAGTGAATCATTAAACAGAAAAAAGTTAAGGAAATATACATACAGTACAAGCGATTTGCTATTATTACCATTTTATAAACAGGATTTTTTTGTATGATACTTGTTGTGTTAAAACATTAAATGCAAATTCTGTAGATAAATATTTGAAAGGCCCACATTGAAAACTATATGACACAAAGTTTTAAACTCACATCACTGAGGATATCTGCGGACGCTTTTGCAGACTGGAAAGGAATGGCATCCAGACTCAGCTTGTAACCGCCATCACGTATCTTAGTCCAAGATTCTTTGTAACAGCTCTGAAAAAGCACAGATGTATAAACTCAGTACCACATGGAGGACCTCACACACAGGCAGCTGAATGGATGGATTGATTCATTGGCTGTTTGATGGATTATTGTGTGTTCCCCGTGTGGTTTTACCTCGCTGATGTTCACAGCATTGAGTCTGGCCTGAACCATCTCCGGCAGCTCTCCACTGAGTGTGTAGTTGTGCTTCATGTTTTCACCCTTCTCCCTGTACAACCTCTGCAAAAATGAAATATATTCCTCATATTTACAGTGTTGATGTGCAGTAGAAAAACATGCTATGGTTGGCAAAGCCCCAAGGTTTAGCAACAAATATCACAAGCAATGTACATTGTGACTAGTCATAATATTTGTAGGTGATAGAATGACATAATTGTACAGCATTTGTGTTGCACACTACCTTGTACATAAACAAATGTTGCCTGTACTTACATCAACAGCCAGTTTGTTGCTGAGTTTGGCTTGGACCATCTCCGGAGTGTTTTCAACACTGGTGTACTTCAGCGCGCTCACATCCTGGCGGTACTTTTTCTAGATTTAAAAATACGAGCGATAAATATCAAAAGAGATTCATAGGGAGGGAAGCCAACATAAGTGGTGCACACGCATCCAATGAACAATAGAGGGCAGAAATTGATCACAAATAATTCGGCTAACAAATACTAACTGGTCAAATTGAGCAAAAGGAAAATTGTCATTTTTTGTTGGATAGGCAAATATACAGTCAGTACAACACATAGACAGATCTGAATGTGCGCAGGAGGAACTCGATGCTCTAGCCCGTCTGTCATCTCATGGTCTAATGTTGGTACAGATCACTGGAATTACCCTAAAAATAAGTAGCTGCTCATTATAAATATAGACTGGACTTCTCCAGTCTGCACTGGATGTGTCATTGAAATATCTTCATGCACCTATAGCATTTACAAGAGATTCTTTGGATAAGAAGGTGGTTGCCACAAAGGGGCTTAGGGTGAAGGGACACAAGTTATTTATGATATTGTAAACAATTCTGACCTTTTGGTTGTTTTTTGCCCTCTATTTAGGAATGTACACATTTATTTTTATTTTTATCCTACTAAGACATATCGTACCATAGTTGTGAGTAAGAGGAAGCCCTAATTTTTTCTGTGTGACAGCTTTACTAACTTGAATCAGCCTGGTCTCGTGTTATAGCCGCCTGTAGTCCACGTACTTAACCCAGTTTCTAGAAAACCAGAATGGTCCGCAGCTCTTTAAATACATCACCCTAAGCCATAAACCAAGATATGTGCCATCCTATCACTTTCTCATGCTCTCAGTGCTAATTTAACTATAAAGTTATGTAGTTATAAATACCTCTTTAAATAACATTTGCCTTTAATGCAATACCAGAACCTTAATTAAGGTTAAGTAACTGTTGCTGCATTAGCATTTAACAATTTCTAATTTTTTACTGGGTCATAGGGTTGGAGGTTACCTCGCTGAGGAGCGCCCCGGCTTTCTTCGCCTGCTGGACATCCAGAGATTTGGCGGCCTCCCAGCCAACACCCTTCATCCAGTTCAGATCTGACCTGTACTGATTCTAAATACAGACACAAACACAGTTTTCACATTTTAAAATCCTGTCGGGAATTGGTCATTATTTGGGCATGATTGAGCGTTATTCCTTTAACTATGATACTTACATCGCTCTGTAGTCCATAGGCCTTCTTAGCCCAGGCTATGTTCATGTCAGTGGGCAGAGTGGTGTACTTGTGGAGGAAAGTTTTGTAGTTGGTGTCAGTTGCGAGGCCTTGAGCCTTCTTAGCATGAATGAGATCTATGTTCATCATATCCAGATGAACACTGAGGAAGAAATACATTTAAATTAAGAGTTTTATTCCTGATTTAAGGCCAGTTCTCGTTGTTTTATGCTGAAGCAGAGCCTCCTTTCTGTTGGGGTAATTCCAACATGAAGAGAAGCATAGAAAAAACATTTAATCTTGCATTAGAGACAAACATTAAAAAGGATCCATTTAGGTCAAAGCCTCACTTGTATTTGGTCTTAGTGTCCTCATAGTCCCTCTTGTAATTGCGGTCACTCTGAAGTTTGGTGGCCATGGCAGAGTGGGCCATCGCTGAGTCATCGCTGACGGACTTAATTCCAATCACCTTGCCTTTGTTTTTCTCATACTTCTCCCTGTATTTGATCTGCAAGCGGAACAACATATTAGTTGTTTTACCAAAAAGCCAGGCAATGAAATAGCTCTTTATTTGTATGTCTTCACAAAAATACAAATATATAAATTAATACCCTCAGGGCATTCGTAAAGATGCAGACTGTTTTTAGAATAACTCACATCGCTGGCCAGTTCTGTTTTGGCTTTAGCTGTGAGAATAGAAAGAGAGTCCAAATGCAGCTCAAAGCCTTTTTCCCTCTGCTTCTCCCAGTTGCTCCTATAAACTTTCTGTAACAAAAAAGCAAAAATAAATCAATATTTCCTTGCCTCATACACAAAGAAAAAATGTGGGGTTTTAGTCAATTAAACATCTAACCAAACATGAATTATAGTATATTATCAGATACATAAATAGGTAACAATCCTGTATTGAAGATTATATACACGTCCAAGTATTAGTTTGAAATATTGCAGATGAAAAAATCTTCAACCAAGGTTTTTTACCATATATTTCATGCTCATTATGATGTCATCCACTCATCTCACCCCACTAAGAAGGTCAGCGTTAGCCTTTGCTTGTTTGAAGAGGGGCTCATCATTTGTCATGGTGTACTGGTGTAACATCTGCTCTGTGTTTGCTTTGTACGTCAGCTGAAAATCAAAATGGATGTATTGAATGAGAGTGCACCATGAATAAATGTGAATGATAAAAGCTTTAAAGAGAAGGCCTTACGTCGCTCCGCAGTTCCTGGCTCTTCTTGGCGTGTGCCATCGAGATGTTGTCCGCCACCTGGGTGAACTTGATGCTGTCTGCCTTCTGGCGGTACTTAGTCTGTGAGAAAAAAGGAGGATTAGGTACAGAAGATACATAATATGGTGTTTTAACGAGTTAAATATGTACACAAAAATGAATAATTGTACTCACATCACTAAGCAACTCTCCAGCTTTCTTGGCCTGGGTGATGTTCATACATCCATCAGCCTCCCAGCCCACTCCTTTCATCCAGTTCAGATCTGAACGATACTGGTTCTGTGGAGCGACGGAAAGTGTCATTAACCATGGGAAATATCTTTGTTAAGCATTCACCTTTTGAATAACCTCCTGTTCCTCACCTCGCTCTGCAGGGAATAAGCCTTCTTGGCCTGCGCGACCTTGATGTCATCGGGCATGACGGTGTAGTCGTGCAGCCTCGTGCGATACTCCAGGTCGCTGGCGAGGGCCTGAGACTTCTTAGCGTGGCTCAGGTTGATCATGTCCAGAGGAAGGCTGTACTGGGCCTGGCCCTCCTTGGAACCCTTCTTGTATGCGACCTGAAGTGTTGATCATAAAAAAAGGTGAATATGGAGCATAATATGCGTGGAAAGTAACGTCTTAATGCTTTTAATTGTTGATCAAAATAACTTCTGCTTACATCACTGTTCATCTTGGACACGTGGAGAGAGTGCATGGTCTGGGAGTCGCTTACGTTGACCCCTATTGCCTTTTCCTTGTTTTTCATGTAGGACTCTTTGTATTTAATCTGAAACACATGCACAATTTCTTATTTCCATTTGCAAGCTATTCATCTGATTTTATAATCCACTCTTTTGCTCAGACGTTATCTCTGTCTCACTAAGTTTGGAGTAGAGGGTGTTTGCTTACATTACTGGCGAGGTCACGGGAAGCTTTAGCTGCTCTGACACTCAGGTCGTCCACACCAATGTCGCAGGCTTTAGACTTGCTCTTCTCCCACTCCTCCTTATACTTAATCTGAAGAGATACATTCAAAAAGTCAAGTTATAACTTAAAGAGTGAGACGTGCATTTTTAAACTGCAAAATCAGCATGTGTATGTGAGAAAGTGTGTTTACTTACATCACTGCACAAGGCAGCGTTAGCTTTGGCCGTTTTGATTTGGGGCAGATCCTGGGACAGCGTGTACTGATGTTTGGTGTTCTCATAGCCTTTTTTGTAGTTAAGCTAAAAGATACATAGAGTCAAACTCTTCAGTCAGCTCAGCATAACGTTGCTTTGATAATCAATAATCCTGTGTAATGCATGATTTTATTATACTTACATTGCTGACCAGCTGAGAGTTCTTCCTTGCCAACACTATCTCAGGTGTGTCTGTAGTTTGACGGTACTTGACCTGGTCGATGTGTTGCCTGTAGTTCTTCTACAGTCATAAAGGAAAACAATTTAAAATTATAAAAGTGTCACATAGGACAAATATTTGTACAATTGTAATGTCTTTCATATAAGGTAGTACATAAGGTAACGTACGTCTTTCAGTGGGTCGAGTTTCCTTTGACTTTTGTAGCCTGGTGTGAGGGTTGCTGGGTAGTTGTATTCACCCTGCTCCTGGTCACAGCCTTGTTTATAGGAAATCTAGGATTTACAAGAAAATGTGAGTTATATTACTGGCATATTACTTTTCATCGTTTAATTCTTGAAAATTCAAAATAAAAATGTATACAGATCATGTAGTATGTGCTTTTTGTTAGCTATAGTGAATAATATGTAAAGAAAAACCAAAATGTAAATGTCATGATAGCATTTGAATATCAAAATTGGATCCAATTCGAAGAAATTTAGCCCATTGATAATGTGTATAAATCTATACATTCTATATAACTGCAAGATAAACAATACTTACATCACTAGCCAATGTCCTGGCTTTCATGGCATGCATGGTTCTCTTATCGATTCCTGAGTCTTCATAATGGCCCTTCATGCCGCTGGCGTACTTCTCTCTATATTTGTTCTTTTAAAAATAAAGAAAAACGAAGAAAAAATAAGTATCCCAGATTCTGGACCACCCATTATTTCAACATAATTGCCCTTATGACATTTAAAGTTCATAAGTTTTAAAACTAAAAAGCGAGATCAAATATTTAAATTGTCATACTTACATCACTTGTAAACTTGGCGACTTTAGCAGCATTTTGAAACTGTGGAGTCTCACAAAAATTGATGCTGTGACCTTTGGTTTTCTCCAAGTCCTTCTTATATTCAACCTGAAAAATGACAGCAGCTGCTTGGTAACATTTTCTCATTTCATCATTGTCCTTGTCGTTGAATAGCCGGAGCTCTGCCTTCGTTATGTGCTCAATTTAAAGTGCCTGCCGTTAATCATTCACCATCACTGACATTACATCATTACTCAAGAGACAAACCTTTAATCCTAAATATGCTTTGCAGAGCTTAAAATGGCACCATTTAACATGTCAGCTTCACCACTAAAATACACACGGGAAGGATTTTGTCACCTATAAGCATTCCAGCTCTAATACAAACATTGTTCACAGACAAGTAAAAACGATTGTGATATTTCTGTGATTATCATATTCCCAAGGCTTTGCATAGTTGCTCAGGAGTGAAGCACTGTGTTCCTGTGTGAGACAACATTAGTATATGACGGGATGTCCCGTGGCCTTGGAAGTAAGCTGTAACCACACTGCAATGGCATGTTAGAGATGCCGAAAATGCAAGTAGCGGGACATCATATCTGCTCGGAAACTGACACAGTATATCCCATATTACGAGCTCTTAAACGCACACACACACACACACACACACACATTAATATCCTGCAGCCTCAGCTACTACTTTGCTCCTCCCATTCGCTGTAAAGTATGTCTTACATTTCTATCTCCCCAAACATAAATGGTTTAGTACTTTTTATGTATTTCCTTGCTATCATTTTCCACACCAGCTGTGTGAAACAGGCTTCCAGGCCGCTCCTTTGACTACACAAATAACATGCCACAGTATGTAGTCAAGAGCAAGCACAGTACAGAGAAACAGATTCTGAGAATTCACCCTGTTAAACAAAATAAAAATAATTTTCCAATCCATTTCCAGGCAGAGATTGTTATTAATCTACGAGCCTGATACTTGATCGCATGTATTCCTCCTTGCACATTTCTTCATCTATGTTTGCTTGAGCCAGGGCAACTTGAGTGTGCACACAGTTGAAAGAACACATGAGACCACTGAGCAAACACGTGGCACACCTGAGCCACACAGGCGTGACCTTTACAAAAGCTGTCATCATGACAAATCAGACACAAGAATAACTTTGTATGATCCCAGCCTGCCTGTTAAGGGCTGCTCTGTACAAACACACACTTTAGTCAGAGTCAATCGAGGGAACAATAGGGGACCACTGGAACGTGCTACCCCAACAGAAGCCTTTGAAAAGGAGAAGAATCACTGTGCCGTTTGCCCTCCTTTGTCATGTTACAAGCTTGTCTTTGGCCTGTGCATGCTCTGCAGCCTGTTCTATTCAGGGAGGGCTTAGTATGTAACAGGTTACTCTGATAGGTGTGTGAAATCTGAAACCAACAGGCTTTAGAAGTAAACTGTACAAATGGAGATTCCTGAAAAACGGCTTGTCACACCTTGAGAATCTTGAATATAAGTGAATTTTATTTCAAGGATCTTGGACAAAAAATTAGTTTTCTTGCAAATTAGTTATTGCATGATGTCAGGTGTAGGATATGATATGCATGGCTAAGGCAATCTGTCACCAGACTAGATACATAGAGGGTTATGGCAAGCACTTGGTTTGAAAAGAAATGTGTGTAAATAAAAGAGAATACCTCTTGTTCTGATGAGTCTACTTAAATCCCCTTTTTTATAAAAAAAAAAAAGATTGAAGGAGTGTCATGCTTAATCTTTGGAATACTCTTTTGCCATTAGTCAGTTGACAGTAGGTACATTGAAACAGTGAATACTGGTCATTAAAAGATGCATGTGCAATGTAAGGATTCTGACCTTATTACTGTGCCTACAACTGTGTTCGCATGGGTTGCCTATGTGCGTTTATTTGCTGTGTGTTACAAATGACCTCATAAAACCCTAAAATATACAGCAAGGGGGTCTGGGAAACATCAGCTTCGAGCTATGCTAGAGTGCTCTGGCGGTGTCTCCCCGCTTCATTTACATACAACAATATACAGGTCCACAGCCCACTCCCAAACACACATACACAAACCATTCACAGCATGCTAAACTCAATCTCTCCCAGAGAATGTCTGTGTAGATGTGTGTGTGTCTATAAATGGGCTGTAGAAAAGGTAATGTTCTCGAGAAACATCCATTCAGTATGAAAAGGGTTTGAAAGGGGTGTAGTGAGATGATACAATCAATATGTTTTTCAAAATCAGTTCAATATTAAATAATTATTTAATGTTTTGTTTAACGTTAAACCACAGCACAAGGGAAGAGCAGTGCAAACGTATTCCTTCTTCTCCGCTGTTTGAGGCACAATATGTGATTGCTGTGAGAAATATGCAGAGCTGTCTCCAGTTAGAGAACTTGGGGAAAGATGCCTCAGGATGTGTGTGTGTGTGTGTGTGTGTATGTGTATGTGTATGTGTATGTGTGTGTGTGTGTGTGCGCGCGCGTGCGTGTGGGGGGGCATCAGGCATGATCAAACAAAGCACATTCAGGTAGAGTTTGCCATCTGTACTTACCCCCAGCCCCGCAAAAATGTATTCGCCCCCGCCCTCTCCATCTCCATACAAAGTCTTCGAGGTATATGGAGTGTCAGAATGAAAGAGGCCTTGTCTAAGAGGCTAATCCTTGGGCGATTAGTCAACGCGTCTCGATTAAAAGCTGGCAATGCTGACACGCCCCGAGCCCTCAAACACCCACCAGTGGAAATGGCAGCCCACAGGTGTCCATACAATGTGTCTCATTACAAAAAAATGGGTGCTTGGAGTTGGGTTAGAGACGACTTTCTCATGAGACAGAGGAGAAGAACGAGGCAGGAGTCTGAGCAACCCTTTACAAAAGGCATGACAACGGCTGCAGAAATGCAAAAAACACAGCAACATTTATTTTTCTTTTTTATTTTTCCAATACTATAATGCCTATATGCTCTTTCCCTTGTTGGGGTTGAATTAACTATTTTCATGAAAATGTAGGAACCAAGGGGAGTCAGTAAGTGAGAGAAAGAAAGAAGTGGCACTTTTGTTTGACAGATTATCCCCTCATCAGTGGATGTTTTCTGTAAACAGTTGTTTTGAAGTGGAAGGATTGAAAGCAAAGACAGGTATTTCATCTAAACAGCCTGAGCCTTGCTTTCCATCAACATTAATACCTCATCTTAGGGGTATTATCATGCCAGAACATGCCAGCAATGACTAGAATATCCTGACTTTTACAACACTGTGCACAATCAGGTATACAGATATTTTAAATCAAAATGCACTAAGGTAGCTTGAATGCATACATAGTCAAAAACGATCTAATACAGTGAACATGTTTATTCTGAAATAGATGACTGATGCTCCCTTTGTGACATTTTTTTTACACTGCCAACATGAAAGAGAAATATAGATGCATACGAAAAAATAAAAAAATCATAAATAAACGAAATATTTGTAATGATTACATTATGTTTTCCATCGGCTTCAAACTACAAACAAAGTCTGACCAGTTCTTGTAACTACTGTGTAACTACATCACTATCGGTGGCTAATTCATCCATTGTCATTGTGAGTTTAAGCCATTTTTCTTAATCTGCTCCTAGTTAACCCGTGGCAGCTTGAGTATCAGGAAATGACCTTTGGCCCTGGGGACAGACTACTGTACTTCCTCAATCACATTCATCGTGCGCCTAACCTTGAATGAAAGCTCCAAGCGGGAGGGAGGGGGTGTCTTTGGAGACCGGACACAGAGAGGAATCGCTTACCACTTTCCCCGAGAGACCCCAATGGCGTTACACAGACGGGGGATTCATATAACAATGGCAAGAGGGAGGGCCTGAATGTTTCCTGAGATCACATGTTGTTAAGAAGATCGCGGCACTTGCCAACTAGCCAGGCAGTCCGGCTTTATGCGGAGGTCCATGGGGTGAGAACACACATGGTTTGAGTTTGCCTCTGTGTAGGACCGGGAGGAAAGAAGAGGCCTGGTAAGAGGAACCCTCCAATTCTCACTTCCTGCTTCTGCTGGAAATGTGATCTTGGTGCCCGTCGTCCCCATCAACACAGAGCACAGTGTTCACCCGGCAGCCAAGGAGATGGCATGTTCATCCGAAGGGACACCCCATCACACCAAATCAGCTTGTCATCACCCTGAAACCCAGGCTGATGTTTCCCTAATGAGCTGGGAGGGGGGCAAAGACAATCCCATTCAATCATGCCTTTAATTCTCCTGTGCCACACAGAAAGTTAGGTGATATTTCTTTCTATTGCAATAATTTTTCTAACACTGGGGTTAATAAATCTGTCCAAGTTGAATGGAAAGTTTAAGAAGTATGTCTTTGTCTGCAGCAACACAAGAAACAAACGCAATAGGTAGAGCACTAAACAGGTGTTCAACAACATACAGTAGATAGATATTTGCAGCTGATAATCAGATTAGAAAGAGACATGGGTGACGCATGGGGAGAGGCCATAATTATAGGCTAGTTCAATAGTCTTAATTACCTTTACTACCTGAAAGCCAAATCAGTGTCACTTAAAGTGCTCCTGCAGGAAAGAACTCCAGCTGACCTTGCCGTCCCTCCTTCACAGCGGAAGATGACTCACTCCAGCATACCACAGCTTATATTTGGTCAGGTAAACACATTGCACCAATAAAAACTCTCATCAGGGCTCACATGTACCCATGTTTCCACTAATAACAGAGATGTCAAATACGGTAAGACAATACCGAAGCTACTCTGGACAACTTTGCAGGAAAGTGAAGCAGCTTTTGGGCAGCAAGAACTGGTTTGTGAGGCAAGTGTGTGCTGTTGTGTGTCCATGTGTGCTTTGTGTGTTGCCAGAGCCCTAGTTTCATTGTGTATGCTCTGCTGTGTCTGGGTCAGCAGGGCTCTTGACTGAATTCTTGCCCCAGCATGAAGGAAGTTTTAACAGTGTTGATGCAGGAGGAGGAATGATTACATTATAAAAATACACCGCACCATATGTCCTAGTGAGAGATCAAACCATGAGGTGACATACAGTAGAATCTAGCAGGCCTTTAACCCCGCTTCTGCAGCTCGCAAGGTGACACAGCCTCAACGCAACTTTTGGCTTACTCATCTTCGGACAGAGAA